TTTTTCAAACGGACTGAACTTGTCCAAGCAAATACCCTCACAGTCCGCCTTTTCTTGCCGGTTTAGATTCTCTTCCCTTTTCCTCACAGTATCCTTGTCTTTAGCGCAGCGTTCGAATATTCTGCCCATGCATAAATGAGAACCGTTTCGCCGTCACTTCGGGATTTTGCTCTCATATTGTTGATTCAGCTATCGGGTTAACCTTACGCATTGCGCTTCTCACGATTCCCTTTGGGATAATCTTGCGGTTAAAGTCCGTCGTGAAATTGAGATGTTGTCTGATCAATCATTCAACTTCATTTAATTAGTCAATTCTTGAGTAAGCCTTTGATTTTGCTTCTCAAACTGATGTCATTCCTCTTCAGCGAATGGCTCCCCCAAACAACCAATACATGGTCGAGCTATAGTTAGTAGCCTTTTAAGCTCGTCATTTGGGACCTAAAGCCCCCATGAACAGAGCCACTTATTTGCACGTTCGCTGAGACTGATCAGCAACAAATGGTCTTTTGTTCGCTGAGGGTTGGTAGGGTTGGTGTAATATGCTCGGCCGATGCTACCACGCTACTCTCAGCTTTGGGGAAATTCTCCATGTCTTAACTATGTGGTAACAACATCGCGACATTTGAACATTCATTCGACCTGAGGGAAATACGCCGAGGCTGCTTGGAAGCGATTTTCGATCTGATTTGTTTGGCACAGTGGTAAGCGTGAGACTAAAATAGTGGGGGATATCACTGCAACATTTTGGCCAGATAGATTATTTTCTTACGTCGACGGTATATTGCCATTGGACGACGCATATGATGGTATTTGGAGACATCCATGTGTCAATTTCAAAAGCGACCCTGGAAGGCATTAGTAGCCCTTTGGCACTTAGCGACCTTCACCACACCATTTCCCGCTCACTGGAAAGTGTGTTAATGACCAGTACGTGTGGATCTACTGTTGATATGATCAACCCGGATGCGGCAGCTGACACAAGTATCAATACTGACGTCAATGCTTGCTTGGAATTGTTGGATTTTGAAGTTGCTTCTTGTTGTCCCGCCCATCAGAAACATTTTGCTTTACAAGGAGGGGTTGGGACAGTATGAATACTTCACGATGCATATACCATTTCCGCATAAATCTTTTTCAATACAACATCACTCTTTCTGTGATGCATGCCATCCATTGAATACTTAATCTTAGAAGTCCTCGTATTGGTTGAAACACAATTTCAGATGGATTGCGGTTGTGAGCAGCCCAATGGGCATTGGGCCAACCGATTTTCACATCAGACAAAGGAAAGGATGGAATTGTATTGCTGAACCCGGTGGAGTCGAAACACAGTTAGTTACTTTTGTCCCAGGCATATTCTACCATTTCCGGGCCCGGCACTTGCGTCATTTTAATTCTGAGAGAGAGTTGATGCGCACATCTTCTCAATATCTATAACAGGTATTGTTGGTATTATTAACCCCTCTAAACCCCGTCCCCCAAACTAACTTTCCGAAATCCTACCTTGGCGGAAAGCCGCCCTTTAAACACAAAAGGGTCACTTATCCTAGATACTTATGGGGTGTGGGGTTATGTCCGTCCGGTGGTTATAAACGGCATGCCTTGACTGATTTTTTATTAGTGGATTGATGATTTTATGTTCAGGCTTGCCACGTTGTGTTCGATAACAACAAAGTAGTCCATTCATTGGCCTGGCCCCCCAAAACAAAAATTGAAGCTACTAGTAATAAATAATTTCCTCAGCTTTTATACTCGACATAAGAAGACAGTAATATCACGCATACAAGTTGAGTTCATAGATTAAGTTAGAGCTTGCTAAGGCTAGCTACCGTGCCCAATGCCCACTGAATCGTTAACCAAGCCTCGTTTATGAGAAGTGAGAAATGTGGGCCAACTAGGCATTTCCGGGTAGGAATTTAGTCCTTAGCTTATTAGGATAGCAAATTCTTTAATGGCATTCCTATATACCTATTCCTATCCTAACTGACTGTAATAGGAGGAGAAGGTTTCCTAAAGTAGGTCTCCACACTAAGCATTATGTATATCCCACGTACGGCTAATTTCTTGCTTCGCGAAACAACAAGTTTCAAACTACAAGTTGTGAGAATGTTGTATTGGGTAAGGTTTAATTGGCTCAAAGTTAGGGTGGAAACGCGCGCTTGTTGGTTACCATGTTGATATTCAGTAGCAGTTTGAGAGTGAATCAACTACTTTTACAAGACGTACATGAACCTGATGCGAATATTGGGTGAGTTGGACACAAACTAGAATAAGAGAGAAAGCCCGGTTCCTCTTTCAGCGACCAGAGAGATTGATTGCAACACATCTATCAACGTATTAAGCGCCCTTTCCCTGAGAAAAGCATCAATTCCCGTTTGAAAACCTCTTCCAGTAATTAGTTATGGTTATTATGTCCAGCTATCCCGCACACAGATCCGAGACGTGTCATTCCAGACAAATCTATCCGCCAGATCAGATACACCATCCAAAATGGCTTCGAGTACGTAAGGAAGAGTATAGAGCTATTGGAGGTGCTAATCAAGTAGATTTCTTGTTTTTCTCCCTCTCCGCCTTTCGCAGCGCACGTTTCCTGATAGACTCATGGAGGGCTTTATTATAACCCAAAACGAACTTCCCCATGTGTCCGAGAACTTGCGTTAGCGCGTACGCCATCAGGCCATGACTCCAGTAGGGCACAGAGGTATAAGCGTATGCCGACAAGCCGCTCCCGCGACCAATTTTACTCAGCACAGCTCGGACGAGGTCGCGCGGAATGGGGACCGTAACGGTGGGCCGGCGGATTTTAGACATGGCAGAAGTCACCAGATGACTCTGGACAAGTTCAACCTGCACCCCGTACGGTTGCAGTTCGGCACCTAGGGCGATTGACCAGTATTGCAGGAATGCCTTGCTCCCGCAGTAAGTAGCCAGCAGCGGGGTAGGAATCATGCCAGCAAAAGATGCCATGGTCAAGATCAACCCGCGCTTGCGCTGCATCATTCCTGGTGCGACGAGCTGGGTGATGCGTAGGGTACCAGTGCAGTTGATCATAATGATATTTTCCAATTCTTCCAGCGGGGTGAGGACAAATGGCGTGGGGATGCTATGGCTGCGGCCGACATTATTGACGAGGATTGAGATATCAAGATCCTGGATCAGAAGCTTGAGGTTTTCGTAGTCACCATCGTTGTTTTTGAAGAAGTCCATTGCGAAGACTTTGGTCTGTACCGTGGGTGACTTGCTTTTGATTTCATCGGCGACCGCGGCTAGTTTTGAAGTCGTACGCGAGACGAGGAGGATATTATAACCAGCACGGGCGAGCTGGAGAGAGTATTCTTTACCAATTCCATCCGAGGCACCAGTAACCAAAGCCCAGCTACCTTTTGGTCCGAATTTGGAGAGCTACATTCGGCACAACAGAAATATTAACCGAAAAGGCTCAAATAAAAGCAAGGAGTAAAATATACGTAGAGGCTCGGGAAGGCCATACCTTCTGCCCTGGTAGAACGAAAATACTGAGAAGCGCACGGCAAAAGCTAAACAGTTTGCATGCGGTGAATAATCCTCCGATCGACAGTAGGAATAGAGCCACATTGGACTGCCAACCAGGGGCCGATTCGAAGCGGAACTGCAAAAGGCGGTCCATAGAGCAGCATGCCAAACCCATTGCGCCACTTGCGGAGCTTCTCAGCCAGGGAAAGGTAGGAGAATATCGAGATGGGTGCTCCGTCGCGAGATCGTGGCAGGGTTTGTAGGTACTGTATGTTCACCAGGATGAAGCTTGCGTTTTCTGATAGGACAAAAATACTGCCCAGGAAATGAGGCGCCAAGCTTTCAATAGCATTTGCATGGTCTAGGACAGAAAATCCATCCGGGAGCGCAAAGATTACTGTATATTGCGAAGAAAGTGTCTGTGGGGAGATTTAAATATAAGATATCATCATAAGGACGAGCATACCGCGTTCAAACCTAAATCCCGCCATCAATCAGTCAATTCAAAACAAAAATGTCCCTCTCCCTCCTGTCCTACCTCCCGCACCAAGAGGGCTTCCTCCCCAAATGGCTCCTTTTTGTATGTTCCCCTAGTCTGTTACATATTTCTATATCCACTTCTCAACCTCCCGTTTCTCCCCATTTAACACGAACTAAAAACAAATAACCAATCTGAAGAACTAACAAAAAACTTAATACAGCTCGCCGCCGTATCCAGTATAAACACCTGCCAAGCCCTAGTCAGCCCATCCTACACGGCCTTGCTATACAATAACAGCCCAACCAACGGGCTCCAGTCGCGCACTTTTGGCACCTGGACCTTCATCTCCTCCGTTGTCCGCGCGTACGCTGCCTTCCACATTGACGAGCCTCATATGTACGACCTGGCAATGTGGACCTTTGGAACTGCGTTCGTGCATTTCGCGAGCGAATTGTTGATTTTCGGTAGCGCGAAGCTTATGGGGTAGGTTTGTGAGCCCGATGTGTGTCGCGAGTGGGACGCTGGTGTGGATGGCGATGCAGAGGGGGTTCTATTTGGGGTAGGCTTGGGTTTTGATTTAC